TTTTCCTTCCACTACTACCCTCCCCTTCAGGGAGCCTGTTTAAAGGAGTCCCTTTTGCCAGTCTGCATTATTTCCTGGGCTTACTTGACCTCCCAGTGACTAAAGTTTTCATACCTTGGAATGTCTGAGTGGCTCAGTCGGTTAAGCAGCTGCCTTCAGCTCAGGTCATGATCCCGGGGTCCTGGGATCGAGCCCTGCACCGGGGAGCCTGCTTCTCCCTCTGTCTGCTGCTCCCCCTGCTTGTGCTCTCTCACTCTCTGTCTGTCAAATAAATAAATAAAATCTTAAAAAAAAATAAAGTTTTCGTAAAAAAGGTTTTCGTATCTTAAGGTTCACAGTGCTATAGAGTTCTTCTGGTTTTGACAGATGCATATCTACCCTTAAATAATAGCTTCACTGCTTTAAAAAGCCCCCTGTGCTTCATTTTTCCAACCCTCCCCATCCCAACCAAACCTCTGGAAACCACTGATCTCTATAGTTTTGCCTTTTCTAGAATGACATAAATGGATTTCATAAATGGGCATATACAGTAGCCATGAGCACACCTAGCTCAGTGCTATTATCTCCATATGTTCCTTGTCTATATATTGTGTAGCTATTACTAAACTCTTTATTCTGGGCGCCTGGGTGGCTCAGTTGGTTGAGCAACTGCATTCGGCTCAGGTCATGATCCTGGAGTCCCAGGATCGAGTCGCACGTCGGGCTCCCTGCTCAGCAGGGAGTCTGCTTCTCCCTCTGACCCTCCCCCCTCTCATGTGCTCTCTCTCATTCTCTCTCTCAAATAAATAAATCTTAAAAAAAAATAAACTCTTTATTCTGTCACATTAAAACCTTTGTCTCTCTTTGTGCTATACCATATTGTCATACATAATGTAGCTTTGTAAGTCTTGATATCTGGTAGGGCAGATTCTCCCACTTTGTCCTTCTTTAAGAGTGTTTTAGATATTCTTTTTTTTTTTAAGATTTTATTTATTTATTTGTCAGAGAGAGAGAGAGCACAAGCAGGGGGTGGCAGGCAGAGGGAGAAGCAGGCTCCCCACTGAGCAAGGAGCCTGATGGGGGACTTGATCCCAGGACCCTAGGATTATGACCTGAGCCGAAGGCAGCCACTTAACCGACTGAGCCACCCAGGTGTCCCTGTTTTAGATATTCTCGAGCCTTTGTATTTTCCTAAAAATTTTTTATCCTGTTGTCAGGTTCCATAGAGATGTTTTTTTGGTATTTTGATTGAGAGTACATTGAATCTATAGGTAAATTTGGGGAGACTTGATATATTTATAATAATGAGTCTTCCAATCCATGTACAGGTGCACATCTCCATTTATTAAGATTTCCTCTAAAACTTCTCAGTGAAGTTTTAGAATCTTCCATAAAGGTTTTGTATGTATTTTGGGGACTCCTGGGTGCCTCAGTCAGTTAAACGTCTGACTCTTGATTTCGGCTCAGGTCATGATCTCATGGGTCCTGAGATTGAGCCTGGTGTCGGGCTCCATGCTCAGTGGGGAGTCTGCTTGAGGATTCTCTCCCTCTGTTCCTCCCCCAACTCTCTCTCTCTGTCAAATAAATAAATAAATCTTTTAAAAAGTTATATATATGTTTTGTTAGATTTACTCATAGGCACTTGTAAATTTTTATTATGAAAAGTTTTTTTATTTTTTTTAAAGATTTTATTTATTTATTTGAGAGAGAGACAGAGATAGCAACAGAGATAGTGAGAGAGCATGAGCGGGGAGGGGAGGGAGAAGCAGGCTCCCTGCTGAGCAGGGAGCCCGATGCGGGCTCGATCCCGGGACCCTGGGATCATGACCTGAGCCGAAGGCAGACGCTTAACCGACTGAGCACCCAGGCGCCCCTATTATGAAAAGTTTTAAACCAAAAGTAGATTGAGAATATATTGAACTTACACTTACCTGTCACCCAGCTTCTTTTGTATTTTCTGTATACCCAATTATATCATCTATCAGTAATAATAGCTTTGTTTCTCCCTTTCCAATGCTCTGTCCCTGTTTTTTCTTCCCTCACTGTGCTTGTTAGCATAACCAGGCCATGTTGAATGGAAATGGGGATAACTAACACTCTGCCTTCCTAATTTCAAAGGAAAAACTTCAACTTTTTACCTTATATTATGTTGCTACTTTTTAAATTTTTATTTATTTTTTTAAAAGATTTTATTTATTTATTTGACAGAGAGATACACAGCGAGAGAGGGAACACAAGCAGGGGGAGTGGGGGAGGGAGAAGCAGGCTTCCCGCAGAGCAGGGAGCCCGATGCGGGGCTCGATCCCAGGACCTCAGGATCATGACCTGAGCCTAAGGCAGCTGCTTAACGACTGAGCCACCCAGGTGCCCCTATGTTGCTATGTTTTTTTAAATCTACCTTTTGTTATCAAGTTTCCATCCAGACTTAAATTACTAAGAGATGTTTTTTATTTAAATTATGAATGAATGTTAAGTTTTATTTGCTGCATTTCCTGCTTTGATTGAGATGATGTTTTTCCTGTATTCTGTTAATGAGACAGAGTATATTGATTGATTTTTAAATTATAAACCAATCATATACTTCTGGTATAAAACCAACTAGATAATAGAATAGTCAGAATGTCAAAGAGCTAGCCATGGTAAACTTGGGGAGAAGGGTCAGAAATCATTCTATTCTTATATAAAATCTCCCAAGGAATAGAAAAAAAGGAAACGTTTCCTTGTTCATTTTACATGAATAACAAAACTTGCAAGGATGGTATAAAAACAATGAACAAAAAATTTGAATCAATTGATTTAAATTATTGAAACAAAATATTTAAAAAATTGAACTTAATATATAAAAGGTACTACATCTTATTATGGCTAACTATATTAATAGCTCCCTGCCGCTCCCCACCATTTTTTGCTATCTCAGCCCATTGTCTGCTTCAAATCACTTGTTTTATTTTATTTTTTTAAAGATTTATGTATTTATTTTAGAGAGAGAGTGTGGGGAGAGGCCGAGGGAGAGAGACTCTCCGCTGAGTGTGGAGCCCCGTGTGGGGCTCAATCCCACAGCCAAGGAGATCATGACCTGAGGTGAAATCATGAGTCAGACACTTAACAGACTAAGCCACTGTTCTGCACAGAAGATTCACAACTGCTGTGTTTTGGTTCTGAAAAGGAAAGAAAACTTTATTATTATAAAACCTAATAGAGGGGTGCCTGGGTGGCTCAGTCGTTAAGCGTCTGCCTTCGGCTCAGGTCACAATCCCAGAGTCCTGGGATCGAGCCCCACATCGGGCTCTCTGCTCCACGGGAAGACTGCTTCTCCCTCTCCCACTCCCCCTGCTTGTGCTCCCTCTCTCGCTGTGTCTCTCTCTGTCAAATAAATAAAATCTTATATAAAAAAAACACCTAATAGAAACAGGAGAGGAAAGGAATCTACACATAGATGAAGGTAATAGTAGGCAATAAATGAAAATAAGGCAACGGGGCGCCTGGGTGGCTCCCCGTTAAGCCACTGCCTTCGGCTCAGGTCATGATCCTGGAGTCCCAGGATCAAGTCCCACATCGGGCTCCCTGCTCAGCAGGGAGTCTGCTTCTCCCTCTGACCCTCCCCCGTCTTGTGCGCTCTCTCTCTCATTCTCTCTCTCAAATAAATAAATAAAATCTTTAAAAAAAAAAAAGAAAAGGCGAAATTACATCAAATCAGGTACTTACACCAGCCAACCTCATCAGCCGGGGAACCTGGTGGAAACAGGCTGGAGTCCTAATTGAGAGGCCTGGGGTGGCTCAGATGGTTAAACATCTGCCTTCAGCTCAGGTCATGATCCCAGAGTCCTGGGATGGAGTCCCACATGCATGCAAGGGGCTCCTTGCTCAGCGGGGAGCCTGCTTCTCCCTCTGCCTGCTACCCCCCCTGCTTGTACTCTCTCTCTCTTTGACAAATAAATAAAATCTTAAAAAGAAAGGAAGAGGGCGCCTGGGTGGCTCAGATGGTTAA